CAGTTTATTGAAAGTATCTGAGGTTTTGGTTGATGTATATGTCAATGAGACAGCAACTCAGCGACACACATAAGCAAAAGACATCTAATCATAATTCCATGAAAAAAGGAAACGTAGAAATAGTCAATTTGAAAGGTTTTTGCTTTATTAGATGCAAGTATCCCGGTGTTTTGAAGTTAGAGTAGGACGGATCACAACAATCGACTTGCATATTAGGTGAGGTTAGATGTCAAACGCACCGTACAAACAACGTATCTTTCGTCAAGTACACTAATTAGGTCTTTCCACTTTTCCGTGGAAAGGCCTATTGATTTTGTTCTGATTATTATTTTTTTTTTCTTCCGCCTAATTTTTTTTCTTGCGTTGTGTTATTGTTTTATAAGATGTCGCTTATATATTTGGAATATGATATCTTACAGTTTATACGCTTTTGAAACTAACACTGCTTAACCGAACACTTTACGTTGTAAGAGTTATCTCCCCAAACACTGTTTTTCTTGTGGCCACTACTCATTCGCAAGCGTAAAAGTTTACGACAAATTTATTTTACCAAATTGCTCGTTACGTCTTCAGGATTAGGATGACCATTTGGACCGAAGCTATCTGGAGACTCCATATGAGAGTTAAGTTCCCCCTTATGCATTTGATATAAGTGATATGCATTTCTAACTGGTAAACCATAAGTGATAGAGACCTAGGGTCTATGGATTTGATGTCCTTGGTCCAAAAAAATGAAAATTAGGACAAGGTCAAATTCTAAATTTAGATTTTTGCTTATTTTCACTTATTTTCAAAAACCGTAAAAGACATAGACAAATTATTTTTACAAAATTGTTAGTTGCGACATGTCGTAACACGTAGATTTTAATTGCAAGGGTACGTTGACCGTTAAGTGGAGTTTTCTCCCGTTTTATATTTAAAATTACATGTATGGTGGTATCACTCATTTACCAAGTATAATAAAGACCTAGGGTAGTTTGATTAAAGGTCCTTGGTTTATGACCTTGAAATTGAGCTCAAGGTCAAAGTTGAATTTGACGTTCTAGATTTTGACCTTTGCTTTAACTTCATATTTAAACACGATAAAGCCATGGGACTTTTTTTATTAGGTTGCAATTTACATGACCTTGAAAATCCAACCGGAAATGACTTTGTGTAAACCGGAAGTAGCTTTGTTTAGTACTTATTTGATGTAAAAGTATATAGAACCATATATTTTTGGAATCAGTGTCAAGTAAACTATCAAATAATACCGGAAGTGACATTTTTCAGACCGGAAGTAACAAATTATCTCCCTTATTTCAACAAAAACAAAACCACATATTTTGGAATCAGCGTTCATTTAGGTTTCATTTGACATTTTATATGACATTTTAAACCGTATTTTAATATTTTCATATCAAAATGAATCGTAAGAAGTGGAAAGACCTTCAATTGTTCTCTGAACAATTGGTTTTTAATTTTGTTTGGTTTAGTTGCATTTCTCTTGTGAAAAAATTATATTTCTTCTCTCAGTTACGCCGAGTAGCTTTAGTAGACTATTTAACATTAATTATTACCTGAAAACTTATAACAAATAATCTTTTATTTGAAATGAAGGAGGTAATTCCACTAAAACTGGTGTATTAACACGCACACTTTTTTGAGACAATGCTGCCTGAATTTTTATTTTCATTCTTAATGGCCAACTATTTCAAAATTCCTCCAGCATATAATTTTAACTGAATAATTGTCCCCATAAATTTGTACTGAGTTTCTTTTTTTTTCGGTTACCGTATCTGTGTTTCAATATGTATCCACGAGTTATGATAATATGTTCATAATACAGAAACACGAGCTAAATATTGGTAGTTTTTTTATGTCAACATGCAACATTGCAATCATACACATTTATGTTTAAATACAATGTATATAGCCAGACCTGAAGTATGACAATACAAGAAAACTTCTTTATACTTCAAATATTTGAAAGCTTAAGATTTATCCACATGCAGCGTTAGAATATGCATCCGGTGTAGGTCCTCAATATGACTCGTTCCGGTTATTAAAACAATATCATCAGTGAGCGTAAAAGAACGCAAAGAAACCCGAGAATGAACTAGGGAATTTACGATATCCAGGCAGTTTGTGTGTTCATACTAGATGAATTTGGCTATAGTATTAAGGTCTCATTTTGGTCACATAGCTCTAAACAAGTTTCTGGTCTTATACATCCATGACTTTCAAATTTTTTGATATGAGCGTTCCTTATGAGGGTAAATCTAGAAAAGTTTTTCGGATGCATTACACTTAAGTGCTTTCTTTATTTTCTAGCTCTTGGAGGATACCGTTGCTGGTTGACTATTATTCCCCGAGGGTATAATAACACAGAAGTCAGTGCTCTGGTACTGACATGATTTATAACATACTTTTCTAAAATTTCGAAATTATTATCAAACGAAGGATCTAACTTCCTAATGCATAATGGACCTTAGATAGATTAAGCTATTATTATTATCTTTGGTCTTATAGCTCTTCAAAATTTTTGGGTTTTATACATACTTTCAATTTTGTATTTGGGCGTTCCTAATGAAGTTTATCTTGAAAAACGCTTCGGATGCATCCAATGTTGTAAGTGATATTTTCATATACAACTCGATCAATTGCATACATCGACAATAGTCCGGACACGGTATTGATCTTGTTTTAAATCAGCATAAAATTTGTCATTCTCATAAATCTTTGTCAGTTACCTGTATATTCTCATTTTTTCCCCTTTTTTGTGACTTTGTATTGATAACGGAAATCTATCTCATTCTAAATTCCAACACCACTTTCGTTATTATTTACCTGATCCAATCAGCAATACAAACTTGGCATCAGAGTTACTGTGAAACTGCCTACTCTAGGGGTGATGCGAATCAGATCTGGATACTTTAAAATTCAAAAAGCCTTTCAGAATGCATACAATCACAGTCCCTCTCTTCGTGTAATAGTATGAAACATTAGAGTTCTCTACTCATCACACTAACAACACAAAGACATAATAAAAGAATTTCACAAAACAGAATGGCTAACGCAGACACAAATGTCTAGATTTAGGAAGTTACAAATCGGGATTTCACACCGCAGGAATAGATTACCTTAGGTGTATTTGGCAAACCCTTTCGGAATGTTGGGTTCTCTATGAACTTCAAATTTGTATTTTATTTGGCCTTTTACCTTTGTGAATCTAGCGTGACTGATTGATAGTTTAGACAAAACGCCTGTCTGGAGTACAAAATTATAATTCTTATATCTTTAATGATTTTTAAAATTCATACTTGACATCTTCAAAATGATTTGTTTTTATTGTTAACATTTTTGTTACATTTCGAGCATAGTAAGGACAATCGGCATTCCTTTGTGAACCATCTGTGCACCTCTCCTTACCGGCTTGTTCCTGTATTTTTATGAGGCACACTTCATACAGATAATTCTCAAAGAAAAATGAAAAATGCTGACTGTATTCTTTAATCATGATACCACAGATATAGTTAATAGAAATAAGAAGATGTGGTATGAGTGCCAATGAGACAACTCTCCATCCAAGTCACAATGTTCAAAAAGTAAATTATTATAGGTCAAAGTACGGCCTTCAACACGGAGCATTGGCTCACACCGAACAGCAAGCTATAAAGGGCTTCAAACTGACTAGTGATAAACAGTTCAAACAGGAAAACCAACGGTTTAATCTATATAAAAAACGAGAAACGAGAAGCACTTAAGAACCACATCAACAAACGACAACCACTGAAACAGGTAAGTCTGTCTCATAAATTGACTTACACCTAGAAATTTACAATGAGGGTCGGTTGAGAACTAAACATTACGGCAGAAAAGATTATTCCAATTATTCAATTATGGATTTTTCATTTATGTGTAGCAACATTGAAACAGTGCCTGCATACCGAGTATACATCACCCAGATGATACGATTTTCCAGGGCTTGAGTTTCTTATCATAAAATCCTTCTTGGAGGGTAACTATTTAAAAGGAAGCTGTTGCATAAAGGGTTCCAAATGATAAGTTGAAGTCATACCTTCGATAGTTTTACGGACGCCATCATGGTTTGATTTACAGTTATGGAATATCTGTGTCATACCGTCCTAGTTATCACGATTATGACATTACCGACAGTAACTTATTACCGCTTCTGTTCTGTTCTTGAATGTGTAACACGAAGGGTGCCACATTTTGAGCAGGAACTGTGTACCCTTCCGAAGAACATGAGTCCATCCACGGTTTTTGATGGGGTTCATGTTGCTCAGTTTTTAGGTTTCTATGTAATAAAAAAAATAAGGAGATGTGGTATGATTGCCAATGAGACAAATATCCACAAAAGTTCAAATAAAGTGGATGTAAGCAATTATAGGCGACCCTACGGCCTTCTACAATGAGAAAAATCCATAGTGTATAGTCGGCTATAAAATGCCCCGGCATGAAAAATGTGAAACAATTCAATTTTTTGTAATTTTCGATATCCGTTGTTTTTTATGACCCATCTAGGGGCATTATGTTTTTCGGTCTGTGCGTCCATTCGTCCGTTCGTCCGTCTGTCCGTCTGTCCCGCTTCAGGTTTAAGTGTTTGGTCGAAGTAGTTTTTGATGAAGTTGAAGTCAAATGAACTTGAAACTTAGTACACATGTTCCCTATGATATGATCGTTCTAATTTTAATGCCAAATTAGAGTTTTTATCCTAATTTCACGGTCCACTGAACATAGAAAATGATAGTGCGAGTGGATGAACACATTCTTGTTTTTTTTTTAATTTTCGAATGCCCTCCTGATATCTGTTCTTTCTTTTTTCATTATAATACATTCACATAAATAACTTTAAAGCAAAAATCAAATAAAAAACGAGGATTATCATTAAAATATCATTTAACATTCACCTAAGGTTATTATATATAAATGTTAGAATATCATTTTTCACGTGAAATATTATCAATTTACTCCTAATTTATCCAAGTTTTCTTTAGGATATCTGTATTGTAATGCTACTTTTGATGGGTATGATTGCTGGGACTATGCTAGAGCAGGAACAAGAACATATGGTAAATGTCCAGACTTCCTCAAACATCAGTTTGGCCATCACTTAGGTATGTTGATTAGATAGATGTACTCGACAGTTTACATACATTCATTAAATTATGTACTATGAATCATGTATCGAGGAGCACACATTGAAGCCACATGAGTATTTTAACAATTAACTCACACGCCTCATGTATGTTCTATATACTAATTACGATGTGAATTCAAGAAAAATATGGGAAATGAAATTGCAACCTTTTAAATGAGTATCACCGATTGTCGCATGATCATGAGTAATTTCTCTGAAGCTTTGTCCCTTGATCAATCTAATTTGTTTGGCTATCATGACTTTCGAACTGTTTTTATTCTCCTCTTTCTTAAATGCCGTTTTTAAATTAGACTATTTCTTATAACATATTAATTTTTTTTCTATTTCTATGTTGCATATCAAATATTGATCTCGAATTGCAGTAATCTAATTATGATTCATCTGCAAGCTATTGTTTATAGATGAAGTACATAAAGACGTTATATTTAATGACAACCTATTCATTCTAAAAGCTTTTGATATAAAATCTATTAAGAATTTTAAATGCATAGTTTTGATTATTGTTAGAAGTACGGTCCATTTCATTTTAAAGTTAAATTTTAAATTATCTCGTTAAAAAGGCTTCTATATAGATTAGACCGTTGGTTTTTCCGTTTAAATGGTTAAAAATTACACTAGTAATTTTTTTGGGGCCCTTTATAGCTTGCTGTTCGGTGTGAGCCAATGCTCCGTGTTGAAGGCCGTACCTTGACCTATAATGGTTTACTTTTATATATTGTAACTTGGATGGAGAGTTGTCTCATTGGCACTCATACCACATCTTCCTATATCTATTCATTTAGTGCATATGGAATAGTATTAAAGGTGCTAGTAGCATACTGTGAAATTCTATTAGTTTGGAAAAGCTTAGAAAATTAGAACTTTGTTTGATTGGTTTTTGAAAGTAGCATATACCTTAAAATAAAGTTATTCTTTGAAAATCAATTTATTGATAAATATAAAACTGAATGGACTACAAGGCTTGATTCTTATGGTCAAGGAAATAAGTTGAGAACTTATAAATTGTTTAAATTTTCATACTCTACTGAACAATATTTATTGCAAAATATACCTATTCGATATCGCAGTGCATATGCGAAATTTAGATGTGGAGTAGCACCTTTAAAAATTGAAACTGGTCGTTACGAAAGATTAGATTTAGATAAAAGATTATGTTTCAGTTGTGATGATATAGAAGATGAAAAACATGTACTGTTAACATGTCCATTATATGAAGATTTAAGGCAGTCTTTATTTATTGATATAATTCAACATAATAATATGTTTTTAACTTTGTCAGATGATGAAAAATTTATATTTTTGTTCAAAAATGAAAATGTTTGTAGTTCTGTTGCCAAAACCTGCCAAAATATTTTATTGCGACGAAATAGTCTCTTATACTGTTAAAAAATCATTGTTATTTTTTTATGTACATGTAACAGGTTTTATCCTTGAATGTGCATGGTGATATTGCACTTTTATGTTTTGTGTAAATAACAAAATTATGTTTTAATTCTGTTGTTTTATAATTGTATATAACAGTCTCTCATAGTTCTTTTAAGAATGGCACATGCATTCTAAATTTTTATATTGTGTACTTGATATTATAATGTGTTTATACTTGTATGTATGTGGTGAGACTTTAATAAACTATTGAATCTGAATCTGAATCCCTTTAAACAATCCATTAAAAGCTAAAAATTACGACATAATTAGGTCATTACATTGACAGATATGCGACGAATGATTACAAAGGCAAGACAACGACGTTATTTTGCCAGTATTGGCGATGGCAGTTATGCATAAAATATTTTCTGATTAGGTCCTCTAAAGAATACGCACTTAAGATTAAACAATGATAATAAGAGTGCTGTAATATATCACAAAATAAAACAAGTACTACTATTTTGATATACTTTTAAACTCATTAGCCAGCAATTATGTAGGCATCCATAAACATCAGCATGTAGCAGTTACTTTAGCACCAATTTATATCCGTATCAAATAGTTCTTTCCTGAGCAGGTATTTTGTGAATCCGGGTCCGTTCGCCCTGATTCGTGTTCGCCCTAGTACCTGTTCGCCCTAATACCATCTCCCCGAGTCCGTTCGATCTTGATTTTTATTTCATTTTGTTGTCTTGATGTATATTATTATTTGAAAAGAGTATGTTAAAGTTTGTTGAAAATTTCGCTGAATATTTATGTTGTATTGCTGCTACCAAAAAATTATTTTCCTTTGATCTGTACTGTAGAGTACCAGGAATACAAGGTATTTGATATAAAACAACCGAAGACCATGTTATCTGCATGTATTTATCTTTATTGATACATTTTAACAATTTCAGAACAATCATTAACAGTCATAACAAGATCCAATTCGAACTTCGCATCACAAACCAGTTATGTCCTTAATTTTTTGCACTATTATTTTAAAGAGCACATATTTTGTATATAGGAAATGTGTCAAAACGAACTTGAGATCAAAGAACCCAAGCTGTGTGCGAAACAAAAATCCCTTGTATGTCTTATAATTCGTACATCGTTGTCTTTACTCATTCCAAGCTGTCTAGTTCATTTAAAAAAAATGTTACTTTCATAATTAATCCAACAAAGATAATTAATACAAAAATAAGTGAGCAAAATAACATAATATATAATGACAATAATGACAGTAAACATGCAGAGAACAACACAATGAGGTCATAACAAGCACAGAACTACAACTGTTATGCAATAATGATTTGTAATCTTAGCTTCCATGCCGCATTAAGAAATTTACACAATTTTTTAGTTAAATTCTTTGAGCTAGCCTGTAAAAGAAATACAAGCTTTCTATGATTTGGCCATGAACAATAAAATTTTGGTAAACACTGTAGCCTCAATGATCTAAAGGCAGGACATACTAAAACAAAATGGTACTTATTTTCAATACAATTCATATGACAGCATATACATATTCGATTTTCTCTTACAATATTGTCAAAACGACAAACTTCTATATTCAGTTTTAATGTTCCACTACGTACTAGTTTAGTGAGTATATTACTATTAAAATCATATTTTAAGTAATCTTCTAAACAAAACTCATTTTTCAATTTCCTATATAAACACAGTTTTTCACAATCGTTCAAAATAGCAAACCAATTCTGGTAGTATTGATCATTTATACGACATTTTATATATTCAAATGTTACATTAATGTTCTCTTAATGAATCCATACATAATTCATACCTAAACTAAATAATAAATCGCGAACATTTGAAACCCAGTTTCTCTTACCATTTAAGGCATCAATGCGTAGGAGGTTATAAATATCATATACAATATTGGGTTTATCATATATTATATGCAACCAAAACTTTATAATTCTATGTTTCCTTAAAATAAACATAGGTAGATGGCCAAGTTTACCACATGAAAAGGCGATTGGTACATTTTTACCAAGCTTTAATATAAAACGACAGAAACGATTGTGAACGAGTTCAATGTCATTGGCTCGATGAAATCCCCAAATTTCAGACGCAAAGTTAAGTATAGAGGCCACCATACTATTAAACAAAAACATGCTTGACCATGTTCAATAAAAACTCGTTTAAGAGTGCCGAATAAGGAAGAAGGAGCCCTTGCTCCTTGCTGATAAATCCGCTTCTGTGAGTGTAAGAACTTTCCATTGAAATGTAGCAACATGCCTAAGTATACATATGAATTTACAATCTCTAGCTCCTGGTTGTCAAAGAAAAAGCGGTTATTAACAGGTTGCCAACCATTTCTGAAAACGACTACTTTTGTCTTGTCGGTATTAACAGTAAAAAGTAAAAGCACAAAAAAACTGAACTCCGAGGAAAATTCAATCGGAAAGTCCCTAATCACATGGCAAAATCAAATGTCAAAACACATCAAACGAATGGACAACAACTGTCATATTCCTGACTTGGTACAGGCATTTTCAAATGTAGAAAATGGTGGATTGAACCTGGTTTTAAAGCGCTAAACCTCTCACTTTAATATTCCACTTTTTACAATAAAATGAAAGTTTTTCTAGTAAGACTTGTAATGTTTCGGCAGATTTTCTGAACAGGACGGTATCGTCTGCAAACAAATTTAAATATATCAGATATCCATTGATATAAGTCGAAAATAAACTGACAACGCCATGGCAAAAAAGGAACAAGACTAAAAGACAAACAACAGTAGACAAAATATCTGGTGGTTATGTAAAGAAAATCAGATATAACAAATCCGAAATAATGAGGCAAAAGATATATTTGTAACATTATATTGTTGTATTAGCATCATAATTTCTGATCTTCAAGACGATTTTTATCCCTTATAGTTTAGTCATGCTTCACTGCCGTTTATATCGTTACAAACTGATCAGGTGTAAGAAGTGAAGCCATAATTCATGCAACTAAAACCTTTCTAAAAACGAACGGAGTGCTTTGCAGGATCATAAATCATTTCAACAAGAAGCAATAATTGTTAGTCGGGTCTTGAACACCCATACTGTAATTTATTCTTCATCTTCAGGAACAAAACCACTAATTCATAGCCCCATTGCTTTCTATGCTAAATTGTGCAATTTCTAGCATATTAAAACCAGGTTTAATCTGTAAGTTTCTACGTAAGGAAATGTCTGTACCAAGTGAGGAATATGAAAGTTGTTTTCCATTCGTTTGATAGTTTGAGCTTTTGATTTTGCCATTTGATTTTTCCTTTGAGTTCGGTATTTTTGTTATTTTACTTTTTACATCTATTTTGTCTTAAGTTCAAATAAAGTGGCAGTCATTTCATCCCATACCTAAACCTTATCCGGACTTGTGTTGATAAATTCAGCGTATCTGTAATTGCATTTTAGAGCGCACTGGTTCCCGGAAGTTGGTTAATATAAAAACAAGAACTTCTGATCTGAGCAACGGGACAATATGCCCCCTATCATAATTTCATATTATTCAAGAGAAACTTTCAACAAGTGTTCTTCAGTGATCCCAGGACCTTAATCTTTCATTTGTTACCAAAATTACCCTTAATTTCTTCTTTTTGACAAAGCTACAGCTATGCGTATGAACTATTTCGTTTAAAATAAGTACTACTTTCTTGTATGTTCTTTGTGACCGGGTCAGAATGCGTGGTTCTATACCTTCAGTATTTAATATCTTCTCCTATCCGGGACAGATTTCAATTCGATATCTCATTCTAGCTAATAGTACCTTAGACGCATTATAAGGCAACCAATCAGAACCGATATTTATTTAGCAGTAATTTCAAGATGGCGTGAATATCGAATGAAACAAATCGGTTCGCACGTGTTATCGTTTAATATTGACAGTTTGCGATAACGGTACAAGAATGAGAAACCTACATTGTTACATTTTCTGCTTTAATAATTATCCAAAGTGACAACCTTATTATATTTTTAAACTAAAAATTTCTGTCACGTAATGATTATCTATTCATTGGATTCACACTACGAATGTAAATATTGGAAAGACTAACGTAATATTTTTAACGAATTGAAATAATTTGACATAAAAAGTAATCAAGAGACAATATTTATCTTAGTTTAAGTGGTAAACATTTTACTTGCTTTTACAGGATTACCATATAAGGACTGTAACATTGATGGTACTTGGTATAGACATCCGGACTCTGATAGAGTATGGACAAATTATTCCCCATGTTCGGATACAGAGAAAGTTAGGGTAATACTGTAACTTTATTTTGTAAGGATGTTGACACTTCATTGTAGTTGTTATTATTATTATTATGAAGCAACGAAAAACTTAGACTAAACCAACTCCATTATCATTGACGGAAACAAATATAGCGTAAAGCTGGTTTTATTTAGTGTATTTAAGTGAATATATCTTAATGACGATCTAAATGTGTACGGCGGTGATTTGATTCAATATGCAATTTATAAAAAAATCCCTATACATTTTTAATTGTACAGTAGTTTTATATGGATAAAGAAACATCGAAACAGTTGTGCGGTTTCTAACAAGGTTTCTATGTTTTATTCAATCAAAATATGAAAGTATTAGTCCATTCTACTTTCAGTTGTGTGGGATTTTAGTTTAAAATAATTCGTTTTTGGTTTTTGCTTATTATTATATGTGAAAGAATAAGAGTAAAAACTCTTAAAAGATACCAGTCTGATAATTTGGTACGCTAGATGCGCGTTTTGTCTACATAAGACTCAACAGTGGCGCGAATAAAAATAGTTGAAAGGCCAAATTAAGTACGAAGTTAAAGAGCATTGCAAACCATAGATTCAAAAATATTGTGCAAAATATGTTTAAATCATTTATTCCCTTTGGTAATACCTCTTTCGTTTTTCGATTAATTCAACATTTTATAAATAGTAAATTTACAAATGATATTTCAGTCAACTCAGAAAGTGCTGACAGCTGGGCTGTTCATACATTTTACGTACTGTTTGATACACACACAAAATTTTGTCTGAAACAGACCACTTTAAAAAAAATTACAGTAGAATACAAACAGAATTGAATATCAAAACAGCTTTAATTTAGAGGACATATTAAATACATGTATAAAAGTGCCATTTTTTTTACAAAGTACATATACATATATAATAGTTTTCATCAACTTTCTTGTACTAGGAATATAGTAGTATTTTATTTTTGTAACCCTCTTGTGTGCCCTATTGGTGAAGGGAGTCAACTTTGAGCGCCGTGAATGTATGAGTATAATTATTTATTTATTTATTTTCGAACAATTGCAGTATATATATTTATTATATACTTAATAGTAAAAAGAGGTATACTGTATGTGTAATACAATCAATGACAATCGTGCTGTATCAACCATCCTGATGAAATAAACTTTATCGGTCGTCCCTCTGTCTGTGTCACTCTGCTCAGCTCTTAACAAAATTGCATATCACGGCTTTGTGACGATAAATACGTTGCCCCGGTTTTAATAACTTTGACCCGGACATATCACCGACGTCATAATATATGAACCGACGTTGATAAGTTTGACCCGAACTTATCACGTCATCTTCCAGTTTGCTGTTGAAACAAAGAAAACACTCGTTTCTATCAGGCAAAATAAGCAAATACAACCCGATAAATCGATTATCTGGTTCTCTGCATATTTATGTTGTAAAATATCAGCTGCTCGACACAATATGAAGCCTTTTTGATCTCGTTCGCTGCGCTCACTCGACAAAAGCTTCATGTTGTGACTTGCAGCTGATATTTTACGATATCAATATGCAGACAACCTGATAATCGGTACTAATCAAACCCCTACAACTCTATGACGTTACGTCATCGATATCAGTCACGCTGGTAAAGGCTATATCAAACCCCTAATCTGTATTACATCAACTTACGGGGGAAAACATCTACTTGAAGTATATAATAAAGTGGATATGATATGGCTTTTTCAATATCACACCCCGTATCAACCCTCAACCAATATAGTCTCTCGAGCAGAGTTCTTGGGATTATATTGGTATCTCGGGTTGATACGGGTGTGATATTGAAAAAGCCATATGATATTCTCTATTTACAGTTAAAATTTTGAAACAGATGGAAATTTTGTCTGGAGAATTGACAATGCCGTCAATTGATTTCAGAATAATAAAGCCAATCTATCACATTTAACTTTTTGAGTTTTTTTTGAAAAATTGAAAATTCAGAGTGAGTATTATCTCTCATATGACAAACTACTTTCATCGACCATACAAAAAATAGACAGAAGATGATAAGGAAATAGTCGAAGAAAAACGAGTCAACACCATGGACAACAAGAAAAACGAAAAAAGACAATTAATAGTCCACCAATACCACATAGAAAACCAAAGACTGAAAAGGCAATTTTGCTCATTTGTTGTACCCGTCATGTTGCAAGTTAAAATTCAATGATAAGTCGCATTTAGTGATGTCACGATCAAGGAAAAAAAGACGGTATTGTTGGAACGACAAATCGAACACATTTGTGGTTATCTGTAACACAGATATTCCATAAAAGGTCAATCAAATCATGATGGCATCCGTAAAGTTTTCGATGTGAGGACTTCAACCCTACCAATATGAACCCCTGTTTCAATATCTTCTTTGTAATTATAAACAAGTATATCAAAAATACCAAACTCCAAGGTAAATTCAAAAAGGGGAAGTCCATAAAAACTGACAAATCAAACGTTATCAACCAACAGAACGAGTCGAAACAATCTATCAAGGAAATCATTAAAATATACTCATGCTCTGCAATATCGAATCAACTATGAACATATATAATTCACATGGCACTGTTAAAATGTCGCTACATAGAAATGGGAAAGCCGAAATCATCTGTTTTGCCTCAATCGATCATCATTGCCAATTTCTAGATGTAAAAGAAAGGCGAAAGATATCAAAGGGACATTCTAACTCATAAGTCGAAAATAAACTGACAACGCCATGGCTAAAGACGAAAAAGACAAAAAGACAAACAGACAAACAACAGTACATTGAGAACTAAAGACTGAGCAACTCGAACCCAACCAAAAACTGGGCTTGATCTTAGGTGCTCCTGAAGTGTAAGCAGATCCTGATCCACATGTGGCACCCGTCGTGTTGCTCGTGTAAGTACAAACCCGGTGATAAGTCTTATTCGGTAGGTCACTTTCGGAGAAAAAGGGGACGGGATTGTAGTAACAACAATTGGAACATATCCATCGTCATTTGTGAAACAGATATTCCATAATGGTAAACCAACTCGTGATAGCGTCCGTAAAATTTACGAACGGATGTTAGTAAAGGTATGTAGCGCATAACACTTAATCTGTGGTATCCTTAATTTCAAGTTCGATAACATAGATGAGGTCAACATAGTCATTTAACTTTGAAATGTTGATTTTGAGTACGTCATCTTTATAATTAGAGCATTCGACGAAATTGAAAATGCATAAAACCAAAAACCTAAAACATTTTGGAGTATTGAAACAAAAAATTGCCAAAACAAAACAGCCAATCTAACTTGTTCAAGACGAAACCGATATGATTGTTTCAAACAGCATAGTCTACCAAAAAGTTCATGGTAAATCCTTTTCTGTTGCATATTGAATTATGTGATCGACTTGCATATTTATATTATCACTAAACATCGTTTACGTTTACGTACCGTTTTACCTGACAAAAAGAAATGTATCCTTTGAATCCTTGGCAATACCAAAGAAAATAGCATCCTTTGAATCCTTGGCAATACCAAAGAAAATAGCATCCTTTGAATCCTTGGCAATACCAAAGAAAATAGCATCCTTTGAATCCTTGGCAATACCAAAGAAAATAGCATCCTTTGAATCCTTGGCAATACCAAAGACAATAGCATAGTAATTAAGGTACGTTGTTTATTCTCTTATATTTTCAATCCTTATCATGAAATAAAAAAAAAAAAACAAACCATAGAGATTAATATTATTTATTTTGTAGAGAGCAGAAAACGTGCTGTATGTTTATTTTAGTGGTTACAGTTTGTCTGTTGTATGCTTGGTCATATCCTTATTGATATTTACTTGCTTCAGGTGATTTCTTATAATTTTGTTTGTTATAAAAAAATACTTTTCAGATTTACTTTAAATCTTCATAGAAAGGGAAAAGAAAAAGAAAGGAAAAGCTAAAGTTTACATAGAACAAGTAACCTCATACGTTTGAAATAATTTTCGTTTCTAACAAAATAATTTAGATAGATGTATTTTATATAATTGGAACATCCATTTTTATTTATATTCAATGATCATGTTTTTTTTTTACTAAGATGCTAATGGAAAATAATAAGTGTTTGTTAGAACCTAAGAATTCTGCATCTCTCTACATGAGATAAATATGTTATATAACATGAAATATTTTTTAATCATTTCGAAATTTTCCACTGAAGACCTAAAAAGGATATTTAACAAGTACTATTAAAAAAAGATATCTGACGCACTCAGATGTGAGCATAGAGTTTAAAACACACCACGACTCTTATCAGGTTTTTTTTTATCATAGCTAAAAAAAAATTAACACAGTTCGATGTCAAAAGGCTGACGATTCTGAAAGTTGAGTATATGCTCTTTTCTCTAAGGAATTAAAACATATATTGCATGGTACTTAAGTAAATGCATATCTATAGGATTTTTTCAGAGATAAAAAAATACCTATAGCTGTGAAATAGACATAAACATAAGATATTAGTAGGTTACAATCTATAATAAATAACAAACTTGAAACAGTTTAAAACCATGAAGAAATGACAATTAAAACTACATGTCAATTAAAACTTTAACAATTAGAGATACAACCTATTTTGGTGTATAATGGGACGGACGGACTCCAAAGGGAGGTGATCCCTATATAATACAGATTTTGACAAGTAATACAATTTGCGATATATACATTTTGACATTCTTTATTTCACGTATAATATTTTGTACTCTTTGAGATTATTATTACGCCTTGCAAGTTTTAAAATGCACTTGCAAGTACACAAAGTCGATAAGATATATTCAAAGCACTCGAGCCATTAATAGCCTCATTGACCTGGTAGATCTAATCAACCTGTCATATGTGTCAGTGATATTTACCTACTCATGTATTTAAGGCTAAGCCTGCAAAATCCAAACAATTTGACAGTGATGTTAATGACACCTTCTTCACCTGAATTTATTTTTATTGTTCTGGATAATTTTATTTTTAAGTTTGATTTTAAATCCGTTATCTTTTCCTTTTATTGTAGCATATTTCTTTTGTTGTTGGTTTTTGTTCAATCCCTTAATTTCGTCCAATCAGAGTAAAGATTTGTGACATCATGCATGTTACCATATTTAAGCGTCCTTTAAAAATAGGTCATAAACCGAAATTATTACTGACTGAAAAAAAAAAATGCCTTTAAGACAGAGAATCTTTTATTATTCTAATACTTGTTCCTTTGAGCTAAACATATTTTCATGGGACTGAAAAAATCTTACATAGAAATAAGAATTAAGGATTAACAATTACTAACTTGGGGGTTATATGTTATAATAATGAGAAGGAGAATATGCTCATTCGTGTAGACTTCGTTCCCTCACCTATCGTTTATATGTATCTTTTCTGTCTGCACACTTACTTGTATTTATCATAGTTTAACATGGTTTATTTTTTACTTGTCATATACGAAAAAATCAAACTGTTTAACATGATAAAAACATTGAATTGTCACGATACTTTAATTTTCAGATCAATTTGTTTTGTATATTAGTGAAACAAAACTTTTTTAATGCTAGATGTTTATTATTCCAGACAGCTGAAATGTACAAGAGTGACAATACATAAGCATTTGTTTATATCCTACATCATTACAGCCCTTCTGTGGATATCTTATTATGCTACGAGTTCGTTCGATCCTCAAGTTTACGTAAATAACCCGGTAAGGATAAAGTCTTATTATTAATTGAAGGTTAGATTTCCAGGAACAAAACAGATATTAAAACTCATCACAGATATTGAGTTTATTATACATTACGCCAAATGTGCGTTTACACGTGTACACAAGATTTATCAGTGGCGTTCAAATCAAAAAAGATAGATGGCCAAATCTACTAGAATGTTGAAAATTATTCAAAATTAAATATTACACATGTTGTGATGTACATGGAAAAGACAATCTATGCATAGGGTGGAAAAAACTTAGGATTTCGAATGATTCTCAATAACACGATTTCTAAAAATATGATTACAGTGCGTTCATGTTATGTTAGCAGTGCCGAAGTCTGTGCTTTACCAATTAAAAAAATATTAAAGAGACGTAAATGATCATCTGACCGTAATTTTCTACTACCACAGAAGCGCTATTTGTGGCAAATAATGAGTACTTTCAAAAGCTTTTATGTTCCGTCTGTCATACACTGCTGATATAATACTGTCGTTTTAATTGAACAAAAACACTGAAGCTACACTCTGTTAACTGAAACTTAAAACCATTTGACACATAACAGCACGAAATTTTTATTTCCTACTTTTATTAGGATGGTTAATGACATTATCCAGAAGATAGTAATCGAAGCTCACAAAATATGCAGAGGTTGAAATACCATTCTTTAGAAATTAAAAGGAGAAAAATGTTCAAATAACCGCGAGGCTTCAAGGCCTAGTATCGTGGCCAATATCAAGAAATGTCATTGTCCTATCAAATGAAGCATATTTACTCCACTTAAAATTGACTAAAAATTGGTCCTTCACATGTCTTTGAAATTTCTTGAAGAAATTTTACAATTTGTTTACAAAAATTGAAATTTGCGTTTACTCGTTTGGTAGCAATGGCTTTATTCGAAAAAAGAGGATATTTACATGTGATATCCTCCCCACCCCTACGTTTTTGACAAAAGATTTTAGAAGTTACACATCAAAAAAGAGGTCTAGTAATATCCTTGTAACTTTTTTTTAGAAAATCTAAAAAACTTGATAAAATCTAGGGAAATTAAGATATAAGACTATGAAAAATAAACGTACGAGTCTTTTTTTTAAATATTAAAAGTAATAATTAAAATTATTAAAATCACATATCATTGATAAGGTCATATCTATAAATTAACTGTTTACATTTTTTTTTCGAAATACTCAGGATTTTCTACCTAGGAATAGACTACAATAGCTATATTTGGCAAATCCTTTCGGAATCTTGGGTACTCAATGCTCTTCGACTTCGTATTTTGTTTGGTCTTTTTTAAACTTTCTTGACTCGAGTGTCACTGATGAGTCTTTCGTAGACGGAGCGCGAGTCTTGCGTACACATCTTTAAGCCTGGTTTCTATGATGACTCTATTATTAAATGTAAATTAATGCAATATTTCAAAGATTTTCATCGAAGGACCCGATGGACAGTAAGTATTGTTTCCTATAGAATTTTGACTCACGGACTATTCAAACGGTGTTAATTATATCAAAAGGAAATTGAACCTATCACCATTACAATTCTCTCACCAGATTCCAAATTGCTTCTTCCAGTCATGTTTTTCACCTTTTCGGAACAATATAAAAAGTTTGTTTAAAAGAATTTCCATGCGTTAATCCTTCAATTAACGTTGGACCACTAGTATCGAGAAGCTCGAAATAAACGGATGGACGACGAACATTAACGAGATGTACTTTGTACCTGAGGAACTACAGTAATACTTGAATTTATTTGTTTCAAGCCTCCAAAGTGACATTCAATGTTCTTAAACACAACTCTTTCAAAATTGGTATTTATAAGGTCATGTTTGATTTGCAAAGTACATAAAATAAATTCATGAATAACACCCTGAATAAAATAGTGATCGTATTATGGGGATATTATTGACAAATAATGTTTGTTTGAACATATGAGTGTAGCAAATGACGACAAAGTGTAAATTACATAAGAAGCCAGGTTTTTTCCCTTTAAACACACACACACACACACACACACACACACACACACACACACACACACATATATATATATATATAAACAGCATCACAGCTACACTATCATGCAATCACTATACAGTGACACTAACATCAAAGGGACAAGAAGTAGACGGAAGTTTACTTAAATATCGATGCTTTGTATAAAATAAAAAAGTATTAGTGAGGAGGTTGGACTAAATCCTAATCCTAGGTTTAGATGGACTTTCGGATGCAAAGTGCGGACGTTCACCAAAACAAATGAACGGACACAACGGTCACTGTATACCATCCACTTCTTTTTTTTAAAAAGAACACAATTCTAGTACATAGATAAAACATGATGTTATTGAAAACAAAACTCTTTATTTCACTATTGAAGACCATTAAAACAATTACATTAAGAAAGAGTATGCTTTATATGTTGTTCTTTCACAATGTTTCCAAGACTTAGTTATCATCAAACTGTCTTTTAAATCAATATCTTCAGTAAATTGTTTAATAGACATTAGAATCCGTTATACTATGACCTAAATCAAGCTACAAACAGTATCAATTTAGATTTAATATTGCATAGTATGTGTCTTTATATATGCAAAAAAAAAAGAAAAAAAAAGAACATGACTTTAATACATGACACTTGAATGAAATTACATTCAAAATAAAACTCGGATTGATAAATTGTTTTTAGAAATAAAAGTTAAATATACATCTACTGTTAGTAAGACTCAAAAAGTTTTTTTTTATGGTAGATATATAAACTGACAATTCGCAGCTTTGGAGTAATATGATATAATAGGGCCAATTTTCACCTGTATTCGTTTCTCTCGCAGGGTCCAAATTTAAAATTGTAAAAATTCTTCTGGAATTTGAAAATTAAAGTGCGTATATTTTTAAATATTGTTGCACAATTTTACATGTTTCCATAAATTCAAAAGTGGTATATAGTGCTACACTTTGCCGTTAAAAGCAATTTTATACAAAATGGTAAATTTTACATGTTTTTTTAATAAAATGTGGCATTGAAGGACGTCGCTAGTCAAATTGTGTATCTTTCCTTCCAACAGAATTTTTCTTATACTTTATGGGGTACATGCTCAAAATTTGCAAAATCTGTCAAAATTGTGGCTATAGCTATCTTTTAGCGTTTATATGTAGTGATCTGGAAATAGTCGATAATATTGTTGGCACCTTAAAATACACATAATGGACTGTGATACTATGAATTTAAGTAAAGAGTGAACGATTTTTGACAATGGCCTTTGTGTGAAATAAATCTAGAGGAAATTAGACCTACTTCTTTGTTTCAGTCATTTTTTGTTTGTAAAAAGTGATATTGTTCAATGTTTATACAGGTTTGGTGTCGGATTATACATGTCCTTGCCCAGTATGCAACAGTGTGCAATTATGCCTGGATGTTTTGTGAAGGGTTTTATCTACATACCATACTAGTTATGACGTTCACCAGAGAAAAAATACTATTAATAATATGTTATATAACTGGATGGGGTAAGCAACATTAATCTGGTCTCTTTTATAAATAAAATTCAACCATTTTCAATATTTATAAACTTTAACAAAATAAGATTCCAGAAATGGACATACCTACCACAATGACAGCATTTTCCTGTTCTTTTGAAGTACTTTTTGTATTAAGATAAATCCATATACAAATATATATCTACAACACAAAAAAGCAACACCTCATAATTTATGTTTTTTTTCATAGGCATACCAGTGCTTCCAAGTGCAATCTATTCATTTTTGAGATCATCAAACCCAGTGATTGATAAGAAGTAAGTGTTATACTTGATAGTTTCAAATAAGATATAGGATTAAAAGTATATATTTGTTTTCAATGGTTTAGTTTGCAAAAATCAGGATTTTGATTCAACGACAGGAATTAAAAGTTGCACCTGTTCTATTGATAACAAATCTCGTTTTATTATAAGCCGTCTTTTACTTTCTTGTTAATGTTCACAATCGTACTATTGGTAACTGAATAGTGCTGGTTTTTGTTGTTGTGTGTTTACTTTTACGACATAAAGTCTAGATGGGTAAAAAGGGGGTTTGTGTGCACGTAAAATTGGTTCAACCCTACAACATTTTGTGCCAAGTCAGTCTATCTGGAATATGTGTTTGTTTTGTTGTTTGTTGCTGTTTGTCTTTATTAGTACGTTTAATGTATATAAACCTAACAATGGTTTAGTTGGTTAACGTAGCATAAGATGCCAACCAACAAAACACTCCAAAGCCTTTATATTCTGTCCCTACCCAGTGCATCCTAATTTTTCAGTGATATCGAAATTTATCGCCCTTCATCCCTTAACTTACAAACCAAAACTAATTGTAATAATTGTTTATTTCTTTTTGTTTTGAATATCCATACAAAATTTGCCACTACACGATAAGAAAGCAATAATCATTAATCAAAATTCCGGTAATGAACTTTCCTTAAGAATTCCACAATATAGAAAGTTTAAAACTATAATTTATATCTTATATCTATTAATGCATTTTTTAGTTGCTGGCACAAAGATACATACTTGAAATATATTTTCTCTGGTCCAATTGCAGTTTCACTGATTGTAAGTTGCTTCAGATATTTCATAAATATAATGGAAATAACACGTTATAAATATCGTGCATCCAAAGTCCTTTTCTGGATTAACTTTTACCAGGAAAGCCCAAACCCACAAACTGTATATAGAATAACTAACAATATACTACGCAATAGTCATTTATACTGTTACATTTTATGTTCCACAACTAATAAACAATTATTCTATATTGGGATATACATTTCAGGATAAAACGGTTGGTTTGTAATAATTAAATTAAACTGTTGGTAAAATACGTTGAAGCCAAAAAAAGCGTTTTATTGTTTATTTTTTTTTTTAATTTTGTGGTATATAAGCACTGATTGTCTTTCTTTAAGTAAAAAAAATATCCTTACATATTTCACAAATGTGTAAAGAATAAATTCCCAGAATGTAATTGTGGTAAAACATAAAATATAGTTGTTATAATAACTAAAATAAAATTGCAGGTAAATTTTATTTTCCTTATAAATGTGCTGAGAATTTTGTGCTCAAAGGTCAGATCTATGAACCAGCAAGAGTCCAATCCATTCAGGTATGTTTAGAAGTAAGACATGTTTTAATAATCAAATGCTTGACGTGTGTTTTGGTGTGAATTAATTTCAGGACTGCATCATTTAAGGGAAAAAAATATAAAAAAATAAGTTTTTTTAAGTGTAGTGGAAAGCAGTAACATATTATTAGTCATATGGTAATTGTTATTTGATTTGATCGCTTTTAAGTTTTGGCTTTCATTCTAATATTACGTGCTGCTCTCGCTTTGTAACAACAGTTGATAAAAGTCTCGATATATGTTTACTAGGCGCAGACTTAGAGATGTACATAGTTTAGGCTGATAAAATTTACCTCCCAACTAAATGCACATGTATCGTAACTTATGTTCAGAGACAAAGTCGATATTGAAAAAAAAAACCTTCAGAATTGTTATATCTATACTAATGTACTACAAAAACAATTAATACGTTAGAGCTTTGGAAAATGTATAAAATATAAATGTTAAATTCCGCAAAATTCCGAGAATGGTTTTGGAGCGATAACGTCATGTCAAAACTCTACGTTATACGATTGAAAACTCTCAAGATGAAGGTTATTCCGCTACTTGAACGCTCCGAATTCTATATATCTAATAAAAGGGAGTTTTGAGGAAGATTTTGTTTAATTTTCTATTCTATTGCGTTTTTCGAACATCTATGAATTTCAGCAAGTCAACATAGCGGGTCACTCCTTAGTTTCGACATGTCAATTTTGGATTTGACGGTAAATAGTAGCCATCGAAAAACAAATTGTAGATTAAAAATTGCATTTGTTTGGATTGAGAATTATAAAGGTTAAACACATTTTTTGCTAGAGTAGCTTAAGAAAAAATTAATGCAAGCCATACATGTGTTTGAAATTTTGAGCTTTATCTTAAAGGGCGTAAAATAGAACGGCCACACACACGGCCCTCTTTTTTTCTCAGCATTTAAAAAAAAATATCCACATTTGTCGTAATAGAATCGCTATAATTCATACAAGATATATATATTTTTTTTATCTTTTTCACATGGCCTGGAACGTTTTATTAGATATTTGTATCCCTCACTTGCGCTCGAAATAATTTCGAATATGACTATCTAGGCCATGTGAAAATTATCAACCAATCTATGGATTACATGAATTATTTCTTAAATATAACATTAAAGAGATGTGGTATGATTATTACTAGACAACTATCCACCAGAGACCAGGGGACGTCGATATAAGCGATAAGTCGGGATTAATTACTAAGAAAATCACTCCAAACAGAGCAGTCGTGATCTCAGTATGTTTCATCTTGATACCTTGTTTCATTCATTTTAGACAGTCACTGAGAGCTACATTGATTTTAATCCCCTTATTAGGAGTCCAGTGTTTTGCAATACCACTGCGACCTGACGAAAGTGATGAGTATGGACAATATATTTATGATATGATATCAGCTTTTCTAGCATCATTCCAGGTATTAATTTTTCAATATAATCGTTTATATTTCTTACACGCAAATATTGGCATATATTTTTGAATAAATAATTACAACAGGTTTATTCTTGATCAAGGATATACAGAAGATAGTATAAGAGTAAGAACTGTGAGCTTTTGAAATCACTTGTCAACCGTCGTTTGTTGTTGCGGGTTATTTAAGAATATTTCAATAATGCATTGAAACAGTTGTTCCAATTGTTGTAACCACAATCCCATCCTCTTTTCCTCGAATGTGACCTACCGAACTAGACTTATCACCGGGTTTATACTTGAATCGTTCTCAAAAATGAATATACAGATATTAAAAATAATCAAAGATACCGGCCTTATGATTTGGTATGCCAACCGCACGTGTCGTCTACGCAAGACTCATCAGTAGCACTCGAATCATACAACAGTTAGATTGTCATATCTATCTACAGGTTGGCATGTCTTGGTTAGAAAAACTTGGTGTTTTGAGTGATTTTAACATTTGATGAACGGTGAATTTACAGATAAATCTATTAATTATGACTTTAATTGAAAACCAAGATAATAAAGTATAAAAGATTCATATCATATTCATATAAGAAACGGTAAAAATATAAGCTGAGTAGGTACATGTATTTCTGATTATGTAGATTGTAAATATTAGATGTAGATTGTAAATACTAGGTGAAGATTGTAAATACTAGATGTAGATTGTAAATTCTTAGATGAAGATTGTAAAAACTAGATGTAGAAAGTCAGGGATTCAACACTGACATGTTTATATTAGAAAATAATTCAAACCTATAATCTTCTGCAGCTATCGCCGAATTTTTTTCGTCTAGAAAATCCTGTGTAAATTACATAAGATCACCCTCCTGTTAACAATGGATTAAGTCGTTCAGCTTTATTCATGCTGATCTCAGTTTTAAAGAGGATTACATTTCGATATTTTCCGCGTACAAATTGACAAAAAGTTTGTTAATGCTCTTATTTGTTTTGTTTAAATGTGTCACTGACATTGATGATGAATATTTAAAACTTTTCAATTCCTCATGATAATGCAATTTTGTTTGTATTATACATTTCATGCATGTTCGCAGGGGAATCAGTATTATATGTGTTCACGACATTTGTACTTTACTTGTTAAACATTATAACTGGATAACTATCTATATTCCGAAAAGGTTATAACTAAAACTATGTTTATTTTAGGGCTTTCTGGTGTCATTGTTGTTTTGCTTTTTGAATGGAGAGGTTAGTACTTTTATCCTTTGTTATAAATCCGCGTTATAAAATATTGTGCAGAATTGGAGCTATCTTACCACAAACACAAACATGAATTCCTTTAAATGCCTTATTTGTGGCTTTATGTTTTCTGCTCTTTTCTACGGCACGGTCGTCCGTCCGCTATGAGGTAAACTCTCGTTAAAAAAGAGAGGCGAAATATACCAAAGGGACACTCAAACTAACAAGTCGAAAATAAACAAACAACGACATGGCAGAAAACGAAAAAGACCAATAGACAAACAACAGTATACAAAACACAACATAGAAAACTAAAGACTAAGCAACACGGACCCCATCAAAAACCGCGGGCGATCTCAGGCGCTTCGAAAGGGTAAGCAGATCCTGCTCCACATGTGACAACCTACGTGTTGCTCATGTAAGTTTACCCTGAAAAAGTGGTAACATTAACTTGCAACTCAGTATTTACATGGATGACCCCGATTTTAAAGTTCGCTAAAAATGTGATATTGTGAAATTATTACACTCTGAGGGTAACAAGTGTGGTTTAAGGTAGTTTACACTGAAGTTGTCGTCACATGACAATTTATACATATGTTAACAATAATGTGATCTTTTGTAACTGTATGCCAAATTATGGTGTTTGTTCCTATTCCAAAAATTGTTCATTTAACACGGAAATGTGAAAGTGTGAGCAGAGTATCGTGTCATATGGACAAATATTCATGATTGTTGTCTTTCTTATTATTTTTCGTTATTTCACTGATCAAGGGTGGATGGCTCATTTAAACTACCCCATCGAACTACATATTAATGCGACTGCAAAAAGAAAGTAATCTCGTCAGTGAATGTTGCTGCCACATCATGAATAAAGGGATGCAGTTGTCAGATATGTGGTCGTGTCTGTTGAACGGTTTCACAAATTGTTTAAACTCGAGTCGATTGTTTTACTTGTTTTATGGTTTATGTGTTCTCCCATCGTTATAGAGCGTATGGATAATCACTAAGTAAGGGTTTTGGAGGGATTTTCATTTCTGTATCTTTAATTCATAGACGATTTTCCTTTTCCTTTATGTTTTTCCATTATTCTCTGTTCTTTTTTTTGTGCCGTATTTCTAAATTCCTTTTTTGATAATTATTACTCTATTCTGGAAACCCTTCCACACCATTATTAATGCCCTTAGTGGATACATTGTGTTCTTCACCTTTTCGAATCTTTCCATACATATTAATTCAATATTCAACATTTTTACATTAAGGAGTTACCCCCAAGAACCATAGCAATTATTACTAAATGTATTGTCATTTATTAAAACATCATTGTTTACCTAGTACTGTAGAAATGTTTTCCGGAATGCAAGGTGTTTGTTTTAAACATTTCTCAAGGCAGTAAACCAAGAACATCTGGTTGTAACTAAAACGAAAATATTAATATTCTTTTGAATGTTCATACGGTTTATTTATGATGTAGACATATGATAGCTCGTCTAAATTTGCAGGTATTATTTTTGATGAAAAATCAATATGTTCTGGTTCGCCGACGTATGAGTCGTACAGAGACTACAGGGAAAAGTTTCATATATTCGGCCGTTCAACAAGCAGACGCAAATGCAAATAGAAAAAGATCGATTCAGTTGGCAAACCAAAAAATATACTGTAAACCTGAACTTACTGGAACAACTCAACATCAGCAATTAGAGGTTAGTATGTAATGTTTATAAAAAGAATTAGTAAAAACGAATTTGTTTTCTTCATGTATACATCAACGATTCATTGTAATTAAATATGAAACTAGTAAAAGCTATATATGTTAGATACTATAATTTTGTGTCCAATAACATAATTTTATAGAAAAACACTACTTTCACTAATATAAAAACAATATAGGCTTTTTTAGATTAAAAGTTGATGTGAGCAATAATATTTGTGCAAATATTTATACAAATAATAATTATCGGACAATTGATTTTGTATAATAATGTGAGCAAAAGGATATACACTAATGAGACAGTAGCCAAACGACAAAAATATGAACCACTACAGAGGCGAAAGATACCAAAGGGACAACTCATAAGTAGAAAATAAACTGACAACGCTATGGCTAAAAAAACCAAAGGACATTTTGGGGGGGGGGGGGGGGGGGGGGGTCATATTGTCTTTAACAATAGACAGTTGTCTATAGTATATTTCAAGATCTAAACCGACTGTGTACACTGAAAATACTTCAGTTCTGTAAAAAATAAACATGATACTTTCAAATTATTGGTAAATTAAAATCAAATACATTATAAATTGGACGCGAAGTTTTGCCTTCCTTCTTTACCGACAATAGGAGCCTGGACACTGAAGAAAATCTATTTTTGTTTGTAATTTCAGGATCAGCATTATATTTTGGACCAGACAACAGATGTATGAAATTTGTTTAAAAACAAAGTGCCTTTAAAGCAAATAAACTACAAACTACAGCACTATAATGAAATGCTAACTGTGCGCTTTACAAATAAGTTAAAATCAAGACATTATAGAAAAATATATCTGCAGAGCACATATACATACACATTTGTCTAATATCGAGTTCGTATCCTGCTGCTATTCCGTCCATATCTACTATAGAAGATGAACCTGTATCGTAACTTTAAAGAATTTTAGACAATTTATAAATAACAGGTCTGTCTGATTTTGCTTCATGATTTACCTTTTATAACTTGTTTTCTTGTAAAACTCATTGCAACCCTCTATTCAGTAAAACAGATGTACAGAAATGTAATTTTAATCATATTTAAGGATTGTTTTAGACATGAATTATTTTATAAGTTGGTGGGGCGGGGAAGTTAAAGAAATTTTGACAGAACATTCGTTGGAAAGAAATGTCCTCCACTCAGAAAATATTAGCGTTCATCTCCACCCCGATAAGAGAAATTTGAAAATTACTGCATTTTTTATATTAACAAGATGTCAAGTTATCCACAAATAAACTGCGAGTTGCCATTTTGAAATTTATAACATAGTGACCGATAAAACGAATTTTAAAAGAATAAATTGCAAGTTTCTATGATCTTGGTTAAAAATCACGTTGCACTGAGATAGAGTGTTCGAGGAAACATGGTGATGATTAAGAGATAACTGTATTGTATTTGAAGCTTTGCGGACGTCCATCGGTAGTTTTACTGTCGCAAATTGAGTTTACCTGGCGACGCGTAGCAACCCTCTATTCAGTAAAACGCGTAGGAACCCTCTATTCAGTAAAACAGATGTACAGTTATCTCTATTCTAATGCAAAATAAACAAATCATTCAATTTTAGTCATTATTTCATTGTAAAATTTTCACTAAACGAAAATTCCGCGAAATCATATTATCTTCTTTGGCGCCTAAACTAGGTGACGTCATAGGTATGCTTCCGGCGTCAAACGTAAACACCGGGCGTTTTCTGGCTACTTGTCCGCCTCAAAATGTAATAAAATTTGATAAAAAAAAGATTTCTAGGTGTAAAATGTGAGTTTTTTGGCGTTTTATTGGAGAAATTACATGTCAATACATTCCAGAATTCAAAATGTCGGCCTCCTTAGTTACAGACAGGGAGATAGAGAATTTTACGCTTATTGTCATCCAATCAAAACCATTGATACAAAATAATTGCATTATAATTAATACTAATTGTAAGTATGCAGTATGATATATATGACAAAGATGATTATTCGAAGGAAAAAAATCATTTAACTGTTGTTCTTGTTAAACTGCATTGTTTTTCTCGGACTTTACTAGGATTGTGGTTATAACATACTGTCCTATGAGAAGCAAGGGCACAATAAACTGTTTCAATACTCCATATTTATATATTTGAATATACCTATACAAAGAGGAATACTTTGACAATAACATAGTTATGTAATTTAAATAATTAACATGTTTACAATATATATACTATGGTGTTAAGAATAATCTACATATTCATGTTACAACATAAATATATACAAAATGAATGTATGTTATATTTGATTCATTTAGTATTTTTGAAAACTATATTCGATCATATTTCTCCTTTGCAATGGCAGTCTTTTACTGGTATTATTTAGGTAGTAATAGGGATGTAACAGCCGTTTACCGATATTCAAATCTCTTAAATCCATTTTAAATATACAAAAAAAAAATTAAATAAAAAAAAACCAAAATTGAAGGATTTGCAAGGACTCCATAAGGATAAAGAGCGACTGCCTCGATCAGTTAAGTGTCTCCTGTTATGTTTACCCCACCATGCGAATCAAGACTCAAATCAAGATTTTACGACAAGGATCATACGACCACCATGCGAATCAAGACTCAGTCAAGATTTTACTACAATGATCATACGACCACCATGGTATCCTAAGGCCTAAAACTGATATATAAGTCTCTCGTGCTAAAGAACCACTAATTTGGGTCCGTTCAGAAAAACATACAAGGGAGCTATCAATATTTTAAACAAAGTAATTCCTACGCATATTTGTAACTTTGTCTGCTAGTAAAATGTTTGGGTAATTTTGTTATCAAATGAAAGAGGGACGAAAGATACCAGAGAGACAGTCAAACTCATAGATCGAAAACAAACTGACAACGCCATGGCCAAAAATAAAAAGACAAACAGACAAATAATAGTACAGATGACACAACATAGAAAACTAAAGACTTAGCAACACGAACCCCACCAAAAACTGGGGGTGATCTCAGGTGCTCCGGAAGGGTAAGCAGATCCTCCTCCACATGTGGCACCCGTCATGTTGCTTATGTTATTACAAACCGGTAAATAGTCTAATTCGTAAACATAAGGAACATATCCGATATCATCTGTGAAACGGTTATTCCATAACGGTCAACCAACTCGTGATGGCGTCCGTAAAATTTACGATGGGATGATTTCGACTTCACCATTTGTAACTCTTGGTTTAATAGCTTCCTTGTGAGCAGCAATCCTCTATCAAGGAAATCATGATAGGAAATACAAGCCCAGGAATATCGTATCAATTGGGAGATATATACTCCGTATGCAGGCGCTGCTGAAATGTTGCTACATAGAAAAGGAAAGTTCACAATTGGGAAACTGAAGTCATCTCTTTTGTCGTAAAGTTTTGTTTTCAACCGACCCTCATTGTCAATTTCTAGATGTAAGTCAAGATATGAGGCAGACTTAACTGTATTTGTAGTATCCTTTATCTCTAGTTCGATGGGATAGATTCGTTCAACATAGTCACCAAGTTTTGTATTATTTAGTGAGAGAACATCATCTATTTAGCGGAACGTAAAGATAAAGGATATTGCTAATTTCTTATCTTTCTTCCTAAGAAGTTCCTGTATGAAGTCAGCCTCATAGTAATAAAGAAACAAGTCGGCAAGAAGAGGGGCACAATTCGTTCCCATAGGAATTCCGACAGTCTGTTGAAAAACTCGTGCTCCAAACGTAACAAATATGTTGTCAATCAAGAAATCAAGCATCTTGATAATGTCAGTTTCAGAGAATTTTTTGTTTGAATCAGAGTGATTCATTATAAAGTAGGATTTATCCCTCCCCAAGACAAGATACTTGCGGACCTGTTTTTGTATTGTTATAAGTTACAATTTATGACTAAAATCAGCAAAGAATAATCGAAACAACATCTGATACAAAAATTTAACAATACTTTTAGATATTTGGATGATATATTGGCTCTCAATAATGACAACTTCAGTATGTATACTAAAGAAATTTATCCTGTTGAACTTACTTTAAATAAAGCTAATACTAACAATGACCACTGTCCTTTCCTCGATCTTGATATCTATATCATTAACTGGAAGCTTAATACAAAACTTTATGATAAAAGAGATGATTTTTCATTTCCTATCGTTAATTATTCATTTTTAGATGGTGATGTTCCCTTGTCACCATCTTATGGTGTTTATATATCTCAACTTGTACGATTCGCTCGTGTATGTAACAACGTATTAGATTTTAGCGAGAGAAATTTATATATGACTGAAAAATTATTACACCAGGGTTTTCGATATCATAAACTAGTAAAATATTTACTAAATTTTATCATCGGTATAAGGACATCATTCGTAAATATAACTCAACATGCAGACATCTTATACGTTCGGGTATTTCACATCCAATCTTTTATGGTAATATTCTTTACAAAGCACAAAAATGTCAGTATTCACCTCAAAAGCTAACAAAACCTTTAAACAGACTTATTAAGAAGGGATATAGTTACGATACTATTGTCAGGTCATTAAAAATTGCATATTTTGGCTTTAATATTGATTCACTTATAGGGTCTTTGCATCGGAATTAAACATATTTATTCTAAAACCAGTTGTTGGCATGACACGGGTTATGTTCTTCTCATATATTTTATGACGGTACAATATTACACCCCTAACAGGAGGGATTGTGCCTGATATTCATATGATGAAGACATAATCTTTCAATCAGTTTAATTGAGGTCTGGAGCTGGCATGTCAGTAACTGCTAATAGTCCGTTGTTATTTATGTATTATTGTCATTTTGTTTATTTTCTTTTGTTTTCTATTCTGACATCGGACTCGGACTTCTCTTAAACTGAGTTTTACTGTGCGTACTGTTGTACGTTTGTTTTTTCTACATTGGCTAGAGGTATAGGGGGAGGGTTGAGATATCAAAAAACATGTTCAACCCCGCCGCATTTTTGCGCCTGTCCCAAGTCAGGAGCCTCTGGCCTTTGTTAGTCTTCTATAATTTTTAATTTTAGTTTCTTGTGTATAATTTGGAGTTTAGTATGACGTCCATTATCACTGAACTAGTATACATATTTGTTTAGGGGCCAGCTGAAGGACGCCTCCGGGTGCGGGAGTTTCTCGCAGCATTGAAGACCCATTGGTGGCCTTCGGCTGTTGTCTGCTCTATGGTCGGGTTGTTGTCTCTTTGACACATTCCCCATTTCCATTCTCAATTTTACTTGTATCTACGTTCGCCATTCTTTTTAATGAAACAAAGTAATACCAACTCTTTCAATTTTTCTTTTAGTTTGGAATGGGGAATACTTGTGTAAAGTGTAGAAAAGTCAAATGTTTTAATACTATTGCAAGATGAGAGAGTCTTAGATTGTATGTACTCTTAAAGATCTTTGGAATTTTTTAGTACCCACATCTGATTCACGCCACCTCTAGAATAGGTAGTTTCACAATAACTTTGGAGCCCGGCTTTGATTGCTGATAAAATAGATGTTAATAATTTAGAAAGAGGTTTCGTGGAGCACTTGGAAGACCCAACAATATACCGTTGTTTGTAAGGACACTTATGTAGTTTAAGTATCCAATACAGTGATGGAAGATCCAGTTCTTCATCTTTGGTTGAAATTCCAAAGGAACATAGAACAGACCTATAATTATCCAGGATTTCCTCTTTGGTATGTGTCGTGAGGGTATATGTTGAGTTTCCAAATGAATTGTCAATACCTAATTCATTTATCAAGCAGTTTATGTAATGATATTTACACACAAAAACGATGTTGTTTTGGGCTTTATCATCGGGGACAACAACATATTTCTCATGGAGATAGGACAAGTGTTTTGCAACATTTGGGTCTTTAAAAATTGACGTAGCGTGGGTATTAATAGACCCATTTAGTTCGGATTTGTATCAACGACCTCACAGCCTTAATCAATTCGGAAAGAGTATCTACGTCTTCTTTCTCGCGTTTAGCCCATTGCCTGGCATAATCCTCGACTGAATCCATCAGTATTTTGAAGTTGTATTTCCAATTGATGGATTTAGGCTCACGATATTTCGGACCTTTTTTTTCGGATATTTTGGATAACAAATTTCGCAGGGAAGTGTTATTGACAATGTCGAGGTCTCCGGTAATAACGTGGCCAGCCGGATTATATGTGAATTTGGAACTAGCACAGGTGCAATCAGGAGGTTTAGACTTGAAGTCGTCACTGTGACTTTGAGATAAAGAACAGCAATAAATGCGCTATTCCTTTGCCTTTTGTGTTTTTTTATGTGCATATACTGATTTTGTGTCATGGATGGATTCCCCAAACCTTCTTTTCTATTTGATAGCTATGAATGCTTGATTGCTTGAAATTGCAGAATTTAACATAGAAAGTGAAGGGGGAATTACATTTTAGATGTAAGTCAAGAAATTTATCAGATTTATCTGTACCTGTGATATCTTTTATTTTAATTTCGATGGAAGATTCGTACAACATAGTCACTTAACTGAAAGAACATCATCTATATAATTGGACGTGAAGTTTAATACCGTAAATTGGGTTATTTTGGCTGCAGTTTTATTTTGGTTTATTTGGTGCCTCAAAAGAAAGTGCCAAAATTAAACACACGAAAATAAATCAAACACTAAAAATTGAAACGCCAAAATCGCGCACCGGCACGACAATATCGTAATGTTAATTGTTGTGGAACACATTTTATGTTATTATATCTTTCCTACAATTATATACATAGCCAAATCTGCAAAAAAATACCTGGTATAATTTGACAACAACGCTATATAATGTTTACCTGATTGTCAAATTTCTGAAATTGTTAAGAAAACACAACATGAATTTCTGTTCACACATGTCATAAATATGCCAGGCTATATACTGATTAGATGCCGTTATTGGTAATTAGAATATCAAAACTCCTTATAATCCTTTATCTTCAATTAATAAGGGGTATAAGGATTAAAATTTAAATACTTGGTCGTCAATAGATTAACATGTACTGCAATAGAGATGATTAAAATTTATTTCATATGATATTTGTAAAACCTAATTAATCTATTTGAAAAGTGATTTTAATGTATAGGATTTTATTTCATATTTTCTTTCAGCTTTGAACCTCGATATACAGAATTATTTGCAATTGCATCCGTATCCGATTCCTTCATTAAGTTAACTTTGTCGTGTTTCTAGTTTGAGAAATTCAATGATACTTTGTCAATGAACTGGTAAATAAACGGGTAAATAAAGGCAAATA